ATTAAAAAGTTTATTAAGAAATACGATACGATTATCTAAATACGATAGAGAATTAATATAAAAGAAATCTTAAAAATTTTATTCTTTTGAAGTCTTATTATTCAAGATATACTGGAATTATTTATCGCAAATCTTCTCTCACCGTTCACAGGAAATGAGACGAACATAAGTACCTGTAAATGTCTTTTGTATTGGTGTACATGGTCCTGTATTCATGTAGCAATTGAGATATTCTATTCGTTCAGTGTCGTTACGGAGAATAGCGTCCATATCAACTGCATTATCGAATTCGTCAGTATAGTACTAAGCCGATGTTATTGCAATTAAGTTTTATTGCATATGATAATTGAAACAGTCGTTTCGATCCTTTTAGTTTGGATCATTTCAATAAATACATTAATGATAACACTAAAATATATACAATAATTACCGTTAATATATAAAATTGAATATTAGATTGTGTACATTTAGATAATTGTTCATCGAAATTTGAACTGTGAATAATAACTATTTGAATAAATCAATTCGCATCCATATATCAATGTTCATTAAATTAACAAGTTCATTAAATGATCATTGAATCATTAATGGAAAATTTGATAAATAAGATTAAAATTAAAACTAAATATAATTATTTAAGATTTACACGGCTGTTTGAGTATTGATATATTATGCTATGTTGACAATTCGCTTGTCACGGATCTGATAAAAACATTTGTCACACAACTAGACTTTATAGACAATAAAACTAGACAATAAAAACTATGAAAGAGGGAGAAGCATAATTTTTTTCGTATTAAATTGAATTAAAGTAGAATTTTTATAATATACAGAAGCTTTAGCAATTACGATTAATAGCTATTAAAAGTATACAATCCTATGTACAAATTTTTTTTAATACATAATTTATTTTATGTATTATATTTAATGATACTTGTTTTCAACATAAATGATAATTTGGAGTTAATTTTTTTAAGTGAAAATTAACTTAATTCAACAATTTTTTATTTACAGCAACCTGAAAAAATTTTTGTAATCTAAATTTTAGGAGCTACATAAATAGACTACATCAATACACCCTTCCAGTAATTTCATTATACTACGACCAGTATTTACCATGTTGATAATTACTCGAACAAAATTAATTTCGACATAATATTTTATCCAAACAATAACTATCTGGCAATATACTTATTTGTCGAATTAAATTTGAAAAGAAAATGATTTTAATAATTGAGAAAAAGATTTTAGCTATTGTATATTTTAAAATATAAATGTGCTCAAAATATTTATTTCTAAATTATAATGTAGAAATATCGTAATGAAATATTATATATCCAGCATAGTTAAATTTAAAATTTTAGAGTTAAACTGGGTTTTGTGATACATATAAATTTTTTAGAAGTGTGTTTATTGATAATTTGAAAATAATCATATTATCTTTCCTTGTACATATTTAATTTTTCAACGTGCTGCCGAAGCGCTCTTTTCGCAATTATTAATTTTCAATCATTGGATGTATTCTTTGAGTATCATTCTTATACTTTACCACTTTTCTGTACCTCTTTTTTGGTACATTTTTTGATCTTGCATTTAGTTTGGAAACCTTTATTAAATATCCTTAAAACCGAAATTATCATCAATTAAGAAAACTGATATTTTATAAATGTAATTTTAATGTGTTAATTAAATGGTATGATATTTCGTGCCCTATTTTCTGTTATTTCTCGAAATTTATTAGATTGATAATTGGGGGGGATGATTACAATAAACAGCTAGGATGTAAGATATTTATAATTTCAATTCGGCGAACACGAATCTAAGTAAGTCGTGGAGCTAAATGCAAAACTGACAATTATTTATTAAAATAAAATTATTTATTTCAGAAATAATTGCGTGTGATAATATTCAGACTCAATACAATCAGTTTGAAACGTTTATAATATCCCCGATCGTTTATTTCATTTATGACTTATGATTTTTGTAGTTGATCATATTATAAATGTTCTTCATAATATCTTTTTTAATGAAAAATATTTTTCTCTTTTCTAAGCCACAAACATTTGAAATGTAATACAATTTATTTTTGTAACATTTCTGTTAATACAAATTGTTAAATGAATTGCAAAGTGTTAGATAATATAATTTGTATAATTTGTATAATTTATAAAATATCTTTCTAGTTCCATTAGACGGCATCCTTTACAAATATTATTTGATTTATCAGATTATAAATTATAATTATTAATTATTGTATTACATTAATTTATCGAGAAAATTTGAATGTAGCATATGTTTTGAGATCTATTATTTATTTGTATTGTCAGCAGTTTTGTTTGAGCAGATTTTTTTTCGCTTCTTCAAAAGTTCTCGCAATTATTCTATCCCATTTTTCAGGTTCATTCTTCTGAAATCAATATCTTTTTCAATTATTATTTTTTGCTTTTCAGTACATTTCTTGCATTTAGTTTGGAAAGCTTCACTGAATATCTCTAAAACCGAGAAGATTTATATATATTTATTCTAGTAATTAATTTCATTTCTGATTAATAAGTTTATGCAATCTAAATATGATAGAGAATTAAAGAATAAAAATCAAAAAACCTTTTTTATTTCTCCTGCATTATTTTTTTGTATGACAAATTAATTCAGAAGCAAATTTGTTTTTGTAAAATATTTGTCCCGTACGTCATTGCTTCAAGTTTGCAGAACTTTTTCCAAGTCTTAAAAATTATATATATTTACAATTAAGCAATTTTTATTAAAATAAAGCTTGTAAGTAAATAGAGAATTTTTTGTTTATTCCTGATGTTTAGTTTCAGAAAAATTTATATTTGGCATTGTAAGTGGTTTGCAAACTATATAAATACCTCTACGTTATAAAAAGATCAATTTTGTTTTAACTAAAGAATTCGTTATCAAAGAAAAAGAAAATGATTTGATAATAGTACAGAAATACCCATGAAAAATCTCTGCTGTGGTGTCCTGTTTTTATAAAGCATTGGAATAGTCTTCTATTAAACCTTTATCATTAAAAACTGTTTGAATATCGATATTATCGAATTCATCAGAGTAAAGCTTCTCTTTTGCAAGACCATACATCAGTACGTTTATTGTAGTAACGATCAATGCGATACTTAATCAAGCTATTGCTTCAGTTATAAATGATATAAGATTTAAGATATTGTTAAATGACTGCAATAAACCGTACATTTCACTTTACATAGATTTTACTTAGTAAAAAAAATTTGTGTTACATAAGATGTATTTGCAGAAATATAATAGGTCAGAAAATTTGATATAAACGTTTGATTATGAGAATATTGGAAACATAAATTATGTATGTTTTAAAATGCAATGTGTACATTAAATTTTTTATTACATAATTTTATTACGTTATAATTGCGTGTATGAAAACATACATAAAAATATACATATTATTGAATACGCTCTGCGTCGATTTTAAATGATTTGTTCATCACATCACGAGACATCGGTAATTTACAGTATTTTCATTTGTTAAATAAATGTGTATAAATATGTTAAATAAATGTCTATATCATGACAATATTAAAAAATTAAAAAATTATTATTGTAAAAAGAAGGTTTAATATATCAATATTGCATCACGTATCACAACTGTGTATCTACAAATGATATCAGAAATTATTGTTTTATATAATTACTTTTTTTTTGTATTTAAGATATCAAACAGTTTGAATAATAAATTTGAAGATTACCAATATTTAACTTACGTCATCAGTTTTCTCTTTTTAAAACCTATAGATTTCATTTATCTTGCCGAATATCGATTGCTGCATTTAAAATTGTTATTTTGTAATGCGTTCCTTAAAAAAAACGTTAAAGAACGTTAAATGTATACGGAGAATTGGCAACCGTGCTTACTCTGGTTGAAATATATTTATTAATGCCTTATATATGTTCTTAGAATTTAGGATCGCTTATAAGTATTTTAAATCAGATTTATTTATCGTGTGTGTAAATATATGCATTATGCACCAAAAATACTATCGGTGGTAAGTATAGATTTCAATTAGTCGTTATTATAAGTTTAAAAGAGAGATGTAGATTGATGCAATTGGTCTCTCCCTCGCTCTCTCTCTCTCTCTCTCTCTCTCTCTCTTTTTAAAATAATAGTGGGAATACACACATAAATTGAATTGACTTTCTTATCGTTTTCTTTATTGCATTCCCTATTTGAAGCCAATTAAAAAGAAATTAATACATTTTCACATTGCGTTCTCTTCAAACAGAGCAAAATGCTGAGATCAGTAATGAAAATAAAGCTTAAGATAAGTAATCCATACTTATCATATCATTGCTAATAATTGATATTATTTTGTGCGAAATTAATGTATCACAATATATTTGAAATAAAAATAAAAAAAAATTTTCATGAAATTGCATGCATTGATATATTTCTTATCGATATATGTGTTTCTTAGAAGGAACGATATAAAATACGTTAAAAAAATAGCAACACTATCATTATTTATTGTTTTATTTACTTAATAACAATTCTCCTATTGTCTTCGTGTCACGAGTGTAACGTAGCAGCGTTGCTGCAGCACCGTTTTCTTAAATAATAACGATCTTAAATAATCCGTAAGAAAATATAATAATTGTACCATAAGTACAATAATTGAATTTTCAAGCGAGGTAGTGCGATTTAAAAGCCGGTACGATTTCGGCACTTTATCCTATACTGTAAGATATATTGATCAACCAGAAAATATAAGAAAATTATTGATTCCAAGCTATAATTTTACGCAATAAAATAATTTATTTTTTTATAACATTATTCTGTTAATAAGACAATTCAAATTGTATATAAAATCAAATGTTAATATAATTAGTACAAAATATTTCCTTAATTCCATTAGATTATTTTTCACAGATATTATTTGAGTAAACAAGTTATTATAAATCATATTATAAGTCATCACATCATATATTCATATCATATTAATCTTCTGCCAGCATACGCAGTCTCGCGAGAGACTTGCTAATTAGAGTTGTTTACTTTTTTCAACTACAATGAAATGAATAAATGAATATTTATATCTGTGCTAAGTATGTGTGTTTATTTCACCTTCTATATATTTGAAATAATTTACTACATATTGTAATAAAAAACTGCTTTTCAAACGTTTTAAAGCAATACCACTCTTGGGCCACATTTGACATTGCGTCCATCGTGCGTGCGAGTATCACAATGTCCGTTGTCTGAGAGCTAATCGGAATTATATACATTCATATTAATTATATATTTAGATATAACACGTATCGGGAGAACCATTATCCATCTATTTTGCCGGCGATTATTGAGTGGCTTTCTTCTTCATATCTTCTACACTCTTTGCAAATATTAATTGCCACTTATCTGGATCATTCTTCTTATACCAGTTAATAACTGAGGAGAATAATGTTTTTTGTTTTTTGGTACACTTGTCGCATTTAGTGTGATAAGCTTCGCTGAACATGTCTAAAACCAAAAAGATATTTTTTGAAATTTATTTATTCTAGTAATTGATTTCGCTCCTTTAAATTAAAAAGTTTATAGAAATACGATACGATTATTTAAATACGTTAGAGAATCAATATAAAAAAAATCTTAAAAATTTTATTCTTTTGAAGTCTTATTATTCAAGATATACAGGAATTATTTATCGCAAGACTTCTCTCACCGTTCACAGGAAACGAGACGAACATAAGTACCTGTTAATGTCTTTTGTACTGGTGTACATGGTCCTGTATTCATGTAGCATTTGTGATATTCCGTTCGTTCAGTGTCGTTACGGAGATGAGCGTCAATATCAATTGCATTATCAAATTCGTCGTTATAGTATTCCTCTGCATGAACATACAGCAGTACGCTCATAGCAATGATTAATACGATACGGCTTAATTGAGACATTGTTTCCGCAGTTATGATACTTGATGTACTTAATTATCATTGAATTATCGTTTTCTTTTATACAAATCTTAATAAAATAACCATGTTTGTACTGATACAAAATATTTACAGAAAGTCAAAAAGGAATAAAAAAACCTTTGAGAGCCGATGTTATTCCAATTACGTTTTATTGCATATAATATTTGAAATAGTCGTTTCGATCCTTTTAGTTTGGATCATTTCAATAAATACATTAATGATAAGACTAAAATATATACAATAATTACCGTTAAATATATAAAATTGAGTATTAGATTGTGTACATTTACATATTTGTACATCGTAATTTGAACTGGGAATAATAACTATTTGAATAAGTCAATTCGCATCCATATATCAATGTTCATTAAAATAACAAGTTTATTAAATAATCATTGAATCATTAATGCAAAATTTGATAAATAAGATTAAAATTAAAACTAAATATAATTATTTAAAATTTACACGGCTGTTTGAGTATTGATATATTATGCGATGTTGACAATTCGTTTTTCATGGATCTAATAAAAACATTTGTCACACAATAACACAACTAGACTTTTAATAAAAACTATGAAAGAGGGAGAAGCATAATCTTTTTCGAATTAGAGTGAATTAAAGTAGAATTCTAATAATATGCAGAAGCTTTAGCAATTACGATTAATAGCTATTAAAAGTATACAATTCTATGTACAATTCTATGTTCAATTAGAAGTATACAATTCTATGTTTTTTTTAATATATAACTCATTTTATGTATTATATTTAATGATAGTTGTTCTCAACAATAAATGATAATTTGAAGTTAATTTTTTTAAGTGAAAATTAACTTAATTCAACAATTTTTTATTTACAGCAACCTGAAAAAATTTTTGTAATCTAAATTTTAGGAGCTACATAAATAGACTACATCAATACACCCTTCCAGTAATTTCATTATACTACGACCAGTATTTACAATTTTAATAATTACTCGCACAATATTAATTTCGACATAATATTTTATCCAAACAATAACTATCTGCCAATATACTTATTTGTCGAATTAAATTTAAAAAGAAAATGATTATAATAATTGAGAAAAAGATTTTAGCTATTGTATATTTTAAAATATAAATGTGCTCAAAATATTTATTTCTAAATTATAATGTAGAAATATCGTAATGAAATATTATATATCCGGCAAAGTTAAATTAAAAATTTTAGAGTTAAACTGGGTTTTGTGGTACATATAAATCTTTTAGAAGTGTGTTTATTGATAATTTGAAAATAATCGGATTATCTTTCCTTGTACATATTTAATTTTTCAACGTGCTGCCGAAGCGCTCTCTTCGCAATTATTAATTTTCAATCATTGGATTTATTCTTTGAGTATCATTCTTATACTTTTCCACTTTTCTGTACCTCTTTTTGGTACATTTTTTGCTCTTGCATTTAGTTTGAAAACCTTTATTAAATATCCTTAAAACCGAAGTTATCATCAATTAAGAAAACTGATACTTTATAAATATAATTTTAATGTGATAATTAAATGGTATGATACTTCGTGCTTTATTTTCTGTTATTTCTCGAAATTTATTAGATTGATAATTGGGGGGGATGATTACAATAAACAGCTAGGATGTAAGAGATTATTATATTATTTTTCACAGATATTATTTAAGAAAATAAGTTATTATAAATCATATTATAAGTCACATCATATTCATATCATATTAACCTTCCGCCAGCAGACGTAGTCTCGCGAGAGACTTGCTAATTAGAGTTGTTTACTTTTTTCAACTATAAAGAAATGAATAAATGAATATTTATTTCTGTGCTAAATATGTGTTTTATTTCACCTTCTATCTATTTGAAATAATTTACTACATATTGTTACAAAAAACTGCTTTTCAAACATTTTAAAACAATACCACTCTTGGATCACATTTGACCTTGCGTCCGTCGTGCGTGTGAGTATCACAACATTCGCTGAGGACTAATCGGGAATTATATACATTCATATTAATTATATATTTGGATATAGCACGTATCGGGAGAACCATTATCCATCTATTTTGCCAGCGATTATTGAGTGTCTTTCTTCTTCATATCTTCTACACTCTTTGCAACTGTTAATTGCCATTTATCGAGATCATTCTTCTTGTATCAATCAATAACTGAGGAGAATATTTCTTTTTGTTTTTCAGTACACTTCTTGCATTTAGTGTGATAAGCTTCGCTGAACATGCCTAAAATCAAAAAGATATTTTTTGAAATTTATTTATTCTAGTAATTGATTTCGCTTCTGATTAAAAAGTTTATAGAAATACGATACGATTATCTAAATACGATAGAGAATTAATATAAAAGAAATCTTAAAAATTTTATTTTTTAAAGTCTTATTATTCAATATATACTGGATTTATCGCAAGGAGGATATCGCAAGACTTCTCCCATCCACAGATAAATGGGATCTAGACGAACACGAAAATCCTATACTATTTAGCGATATTTGCAATAATGATAGACATATTAATTTTTGTAATGGTATTAATAAAAGCATACCGAGAAAAGCATTCCAGCCGCTCGAGGTAACCCGACTCAGTTTATCAAGCATTGGCTGCCAGCAGCGCGTTGAAAGGTAAGAGAGTAAGTACGCCATTCTCGGATCATACATCGAGCAACTGGAGTATTTCTCTCGGTGTGCTCTCATTAGTATAATTACAAAAATTAATGTTTCCATTATTATTGCTCTATTAGTATCTCTAAACAATATGATACTTTTGTGTTCATCTCGATCCCATTTTGATCTCCTTATGAGCAGTGGAAGAAGTCTCGCGGTACCTGCGTATTGTTAACAAGTAAAGTTGAAAAGATATCTTTAAAAACTGATGTTTATTTCAAGAATATGATACACAAAAAATAGATCAAAAGTTAATTTTGTCCTATATTCTGACAAATCAATAAGCTATTAAAAAATAATCAATATAGGAAAACGATAAAAACATCTAGTTGAATGAATTTCTCGCAAATCTTTCTATTTCTGCTGTATTATTTTTATACAATAAAAATCGAATTTATCTTATCAAATATTCAACAATTTTAAATACATTATTATTAACTTTTACAAAACTCTTTATAATTCTTAAAAATTATCCCTACAGTACTAAATATTACAATAATATTGTAGCAATATTTGAATTGTACACAATAAAATTGATTTAATGAAAATTGCAGTAATTGAAATTTTAATATTTTATTGGAAATATTCAACATTATTATAATTTTAATACATTCTATAAAAAATATTGTAATATATTTCTAAAATATTATTCAACAAATACGCGACTCCGTCATGAGATAAATGCATTTCTCATAAGAAGAAAATGTCCAGAAATTTTTTAAAAAGGCATATGCAAATCGAATTGTTGGAGATGCATGTCTTTTGGAGATTTCCAGCTCTTTTGGGTGTGCTTTCTAAAATGTTTTTTGATCAAAACTTTATTTTAGAATATGTCAAGCAATATATGTCAAACAATAATATTTTAGCAATTAATGAAATTGGATTAATTATTGAACTATTGCATGATGTTGCATCAATATATCTGTAATATTTCTTTAAATATTGCAAAGATTATAATATCGCAAAATATTGCAGCAATATTTTATTTTAGTGAATATACGAATATTGCTACAGTATTGTATATATTTTACGAAATTGTAATCTTTAATAGTAATAATACTGCAATATTGCTATGTAATATTTCATGCTGTAGAGATACATATATTACAATTGTAATATGTGTAATAAGTTAATTTAAAATTTTTTTAAATATAAGGAAGTAAACAGGAAATCTATTTTTGGTATTTGTTACTTCTTGCTTAGTTTATTATAAGAATTTCTTATTTGACATTGTAAATTTAATAATAATTTAATAATAATAAAAACCTCTATGTTATCATTAAAGCACCTCTAGGTGATATAGCCAACGGTACACAAACTTTGTACATATTCGCTAAATATTGATTTACATTCAATATAGATAATTATGTATATCATGTATATGTATGATATTTGCTCATGTTGACATACGTTGGCCATATTGTCTATAGACACTTTTACAGAAAAATCAATATTGTGTAGATTAAAGAATTCATCACAAAATTATATAGATAAAGTCTGTTTTTGTGGCTGAACTAATGTACATTTTTGAAGTAAAATAGGTACAAGTTTTGATATTTGTTGAAAGTGAGAAAAAGAGTGCAGTCTAGTGCAGGAACAGAAAATGGACCAATACATTACTTGTTAGGGCCTTCTGTACTGGTGCCTGGCACGGTGCTATTTCCATGAAGCAATCGTAATATGAGTCTCGTGCAGTCTTATTATTGAGAATAATATGATAGTCAATATTATCAGAATAGTGCTCTTCTTTTCTGCAAGAATGCACATCAGTACAAGTATATTTACAATGATTGATGCAAGATGATATAATCGAGCCATTGTTTGCACAGCTGTGTCACTTGAGAGACTAAAATGCCAGTTCAACGTTTTATATTTATATGTTTTACTTAATCAAAAAAGTTGCGACGCAATAAGCGTGCAAAATTTTTATTTTATGTTTTAAGATACAAAGAATACATTAAATTTTTTTGATACAATGTATGCTATATGTATGACAGTCATATGTTATACGTATATATTTCAAAAATATGAGATGTTTATAACTTCGTGTTTCTAATGATTTAGTTAATTTAAAATAATTTTTTTATAGCAAAAATATCAATGAAGTTTGAATTATGGACGATAGAAAAAGTAATGTAAAAAGTCATATTACAATATTTCTCTTTACACGCATTCTATTTATTTATTACTGCAAATATGTATATAGATGCTTTCTAGCAAAGACACAGTCAAACACAGTGAATCATTACATTCTTGTTGTTTGCTACGTTAAACAAAGAAACAATTCACTGTGTCTGACTGTGTCCTTGTTAAAAAGCACTCATCAATTATCAGTATTAATGGGAGCTTTCCAGCTACGATACAAATTGTGACATGATGTTAGAGTCTAAGCACAAGAATTGTCGTAACACTTACTTAGACTTAAATTGTAGACATAAGTAAGCTTTTACGTATGACATGTAACTTATTGCCGTGTCTCCAAGAGACGGTAATAAATCTTACGTCATACGCCAAAGCTTATGCATTACGTCTATAAACTGTAATGTTTATAAGACGTCTTTGAGACGCACACACACACGCACGCACGCACGCACATTCTATAATGCCATTCTTCTATAAATTATATAGATTATCTATAGATTATATTGACTGAATTCCAATATACACTGACAGTATTGAAAATTTTTAAATATACATAAAGTAAACTATAGATTTTCGAAAATTTACAGGTCACGTTACGAATACTATAGATTTTCAGTGCTGACAATGTATATCAGAATATGGCCATTGTTCATTTAATATTTATAAGAAATTCTACACATATACGATTTAGATAGTTCGGCGTTCCGCCGGAATTGCCGGAAGCAGAAAATAGTCGAAAGAATCAAATAAGTAACTAAAGCACGACATCCGCAATACGGAAAGCTCCATGTATTTTAAGTGCGATATGCTATAAATGCGTCATATCGCTAATTCGATTTTACGAATTATTTTATAAAAATGCCTTATCTTTGTTCTCAAATATGTCTTAAAAAGATGATATGAAAGATGATTTAAACGGATATCTGAACGACACCTTAAAAAAGATTGTCTTTAAAACTTGATTAAAAGTCGTCCTAAAGACGTTTTCTGAAAAAGTCTTATAGATGTCTCTTTTAAGTCATCTTAGATTACTTTGATATTTCTATCTCCTCTGTATTCTGTATTGTGGTTTCGTCGTATAATCGCTTGGATTTTGATTGAATCAGACGATGTGATTAGATGGCCAGCGTAACATTTTGACAGTGTGCGCAGGGTTTTTTTTTTTTTAAAAAAAAGAATTCCATATGTTTTAGGAGCGATTGATTATATCCACATCCGTATACAGAAATCTTTGGCATAAATGAGATACCATACTGTAATCGCAAAAAATTTGTTTCCATTCACTTACAAGCTGTCGTCGACTCTATGCGATTTACAAACGTAAATTTCGATGAACCTGAATGCTTGCATGATGCATGTATTGAGAAGGTCATCTTTATATAAAATAGTGAATGAAGATAAAGAAATACTATCTGCTAATGATATGTTTGTATTTGATGATTCCGCGTATCCGTCATTATCATGGCATATTCGACCATTTCGGGACCATGGCCACACCTCAGCAGAGTTTAATTTTTTTCATTCGTCTACTCGGATGATAGTCGAAAGAATATATCAAAAAAATAATTTCGTTGGATAAAATTCTTTTTAGAGTACAACAAAAATAGAATTACTAATATAGTAATATCAGTATGTATTTTGCACAATCTTTGTATAAATGAAAATGATGATTTTCAAGTAAGTGAAGAAAATGATGATCATGTAATTATAGATAAAAATATCATTGATCGTGAAAATATCAATGATATTCGGATAGAAAAAAATTATTTTTTGAAGTGTAAAGTAATAACATATGTGCGTATAATACTTACGATCTCCGGAGAGACATTGAATTACATTGATTACAACAATTGAAATTTATTACTACATAAGTCGCATTATAAAAAAATTGTACATATTTCATGTTTTATTAAATGAGTTTTATTGAGTAATGATCAACTTTTTATTATATATTTCAATACACAACAAATCTTATTTAATTCTAATATAATATTGATGGGTTCAACATATGCGATTTTTTACATTGCTGTAACTTTTTTATAATATAATTTGAAGACTCGGATTAAGGCTAAAAAAAAATTTTCCATAGATAAAAACTGTCCATAGATATGATAAGCCTGCAAAGAATATTTTTGCGTTATTTTCGATGTGAGAATGCACAAAAATTCAAAAAGGGTACTTGAAACCTACATGTGATTAGTAAGTTTTCGGGGTTCTAGATACCTCTTTATTTTTTATTAAATATACGTTTATTGAGTTTCGTATAGTATAAAAGTAAGTACACGAAAATATAGAACTAAAAAGAATTATATTTTAATATAATAGTAGAAATTTGATCATTTCTATCAGTCTTTGGAAATCACTCGACCGGGACGGATTTATTGCTTTAGAATGCGAGTATTGCATCATTCTCTAAACTAAATCCTAAACTTAATTATACATACTATAACGATATTTATACATGTATAATCTTTTATCTACTTATATTATTACTCTTTTATATTGTTCAAATAATAAAATTTTATTTATTTATTGTAAACTTGAAATATATAAATTCTTCAAAAATGTCGATTTTCGATAGTTCAAATAATTATACTTTTTTGGATAATTTATATCATACTATTTTTTTTTGTTAGTCCAAATGGTCAACTAATAAAATCCTACGGGTTTTTGCTTAAAAATTAAATTTAAAAAATTGAGAACTTTTTATCCAAAGTTGTCATTTTTTGCGAATGTTTCCAATAAAATTTCTTGGAAGCATTGTAATTAATTGAAAATAAAATATTATTTACTTGATTCATATTTATCTTGCTTCTACTTACTTGATTCTATCTTTATCTGTCTTTGGAGCATAAATTTCACACGTTTTGAGCTAAAAAATACATAGGTATAATCCAGAGACATGGCATGACAAAGTTGCAGAGTTTCACAAACCTTAATGTTAGCAGAAAGGTAACGAAAAATAACAGTTAATCATTTACTTATAATACAATCTTAACTTATTTAATGTCTATAATCTAGCTATTAAACGCTAGTAACGTATGTACTGTATATTACAGTTAGTAACAGTTTCAAACTTTGTATTACTTTTGGTTGCAGTCATTTTATCACATTAGATTGAACATGTGTTTATTCTATGAAAATTCCTGCGTACTCTACATTAACGATTATCTATTACAAAGGTTTTCTAAAATAGAAACAAAACTTACGTGAAATAAAAATATATAATTGATAAACGTTTTCAGACTTCAGTACTTTCGTTACAATCTTCATCGTAAGCATCTGAATCACTTACAGAGCTGACAGATAGAACAACAGATTGTTCTATATTCTCTTTATTATTTAAAAGCCTGCGTAATAATTTACATTTTTTTTTCTCAAGCAACAGATTTTCATGTTTGAATGAAATTTGGAAAGGGCCGAAATTGACCCTTATTGATTCTTTTCATTGATATATATGCACTGTTCAAAAGAATTATTAGAAAAATTTTAAACAAAAATTGGCTTTGATTGACGACAACTCCATGAAAAATCTTCGTAGGATAATAAACTTTTTTTTTAAATTGAAACGTAAAGTCTCTACTTTAAGATATTTTGACGATTTTAAGTTTACTGCATCCCTACCAATATACCTCTCAAAATATGAAGATATGTTTATCATATTAAAAAGTTTAATGGAAAACACGAGCTTTCTAAAATATTTTTGGGGAATGCTGTTGCAGCAGTAAATATAATAAAGTTCGAACCTTCCCCTTTAATTAAAAAAAAAATGCAAGTTGCTGCAATTTTTTTTCGTAAAGTGTACATGACATTACTATTATCATTTATTACTGTATATGTATTACTGTATACTCTTTACTTTTTATTATAAGAAAATTTATTGAAATGATATTTATGTTCAATTTCAAAGAAATTGAACATAATTTCTACAGAAATTGTCAGGATATTATGTTTTGTTTTTAAGATTTCAGGATTGTGATTTTTCGAGACGTAGTTTTCAATTTTCAGGATTATAATTTTTCGGACTTTGCACATCTTAATTTTTAAGGATGTAATGTAAATAAAAAACATAATATAAACAATATAAGCGTTTTGTATCTTAGCTATTAAATACTACTACATGATGATTCATTTTTTAATTAGTCGAGATTGGAAAAAGTAATATTGTTTTCTTCTAAAAATTTTCGTCTAAAAATTTTAAGTTGGAAATGGCTATAAACATGACTTTGCATATTTATAATTTCAATTTCTAACAAACACAAATTTAGGCACCTGTACGTGAAACTTTCACGATGAAAGACTGACAACTATATAATTATATAAATAATTTTACAGTAAATGTTGTTTACGATATCTTATTTTTTTAAATTCTTCTTTATTCTATAGAATTAATTGTAATATAATACCATTTATTTATTTATAATATGTTTCTATTAAAATAATATCTGCAAATGTATGTGTGTGTGCATACTGTGCATGTTAGTTAAAATAATTTATATAAAATGGTTCTTTAATCCCATTAGACAATGTCTTTTGTCTGTATTATTTAAATTATCAGATTGTGTGTGTGTGTGTGTGTGTGTGTGTGTGTATGTGTATGTGTGTAAATTATACTACGTGCTATTATATTATATTTTAATTAACTGGAAAAATTCTAATATAGTATGTATTGGAAGATTTATTATCCATCTGTGTTGCTAGCAGCTTTTTTCTTCATTTTCTCTACAGTCTTCGCAACTATTAATTTCCATTTCTCGGGTTCATTCGTTACGAACCAGTTGGTTACCATGTCCATATTTTCTATTTGTTTTTTAGTACATTTTCTGCATTTAGTTTGGAAAGCTTCGGTGTACAATTCTGCAATTAAAAATACATATTTATATTTATTTATTTTTGAAATTGATTTTATCTCAATTTATAAATGTACAGAATTTAAATACTGAGGATGCACAGATATCCGGTACCCGGTATTTTTTTACTATCCGGTTAAAAAGCTAGATATCATTAATATTTGGTAATATATCTAGCTGAAATTTTATATTGAAAGTTTATTAATACAGAATTTTATTCTTTTCAGTTGAACTTCTTGCACAGTTTATCTTTCCGTTTTTTCTTTTTACGTTGGAAAGATAAAGAAAATTATTGCTATTTTTTGCATATTTTTTTTGGAAACCTCGTTCCAGATATTCAAATATCCATGGAATTCGGTATTTGGTCGGATAATTTGTTCTACTGGATTGGATATCAAATATCCGATCGGATATCGAATATCCGATTGGATATTGAATATCCAAAAAAAATGTCACCAAAAATCCGATATTCAATATCTGATAATTTTACAATTCGTTGCATCCCTATTAAATAGAAAATTAAAATATTACATATATTTAAAAAATCGATATTCTTGTTCAAGAATATAACTTATAAAAAAACAAGATAAAAAATCAATTATTCCGCATGTCTCTATAAAACCAATCATTCATTTAAAAATTAACTTAAAACATTTAATTGTCAAATGCAATTCTCGCACGCAGAGTTTTTCTGCTGTATTATTGATATATAATACTTTTGAGACTTTCACGATGTTTTCTTCAGAGGTGCCAAAGAGCTTTCGAGTTATCGCCCCGTCTTTATCAATGCACTCCTCGTTCTGATGAAGTAAATAAGTTCGCGAAACGTTGCTATTAGCAATGGATCACGACATGGTAATAATCCGTAAACTCTTTGACGCCTCTGTTGTGTTATTTTTATACAATAAATAAATTAATTAGAAGTAAGTTTGTCTTATCAAATATTGGAAATGTATATATCATTCTCTCAACTTTTTGTTGAACATTTTTCAATTCTGAAAAATTGTACATATAATTGACACGGACAGATTGTCTAATGATTATTATCAATAATAAAGTAAAATCGTTGCTCTTTTATAATAATGATTTTGAATAAAGTAAATGTGTTTTTGAATGAATCAGTGTGAGTTACAAATTTAAATTTAGTTTAATTTCTGATTTGATAAGAATATAACTATTCATATATATTATAATTTTTATGTAGAACTTAATGATTATACCCACTTAATGATTATAGACAACACGCGACATCCATTGAACGTCCAATGGACGTTGTATGTTGTTTGGATACAGCTATCAAGATAAGATATTCACAATGTTCGAATTGTGCAATTGCTTAACGTTTATTGTGTGTTTGTTATCTATGTGGTTATTATCTTTCACTTAATTTGATAATTCACTAAAGATGATCTGAATTAAGCTGAAATGTTCGTATTAAGTATTGATTTCAAGAAGATCTAGGTATATGTAACACAAAATTATATTATATTATATTACATACGTTAATTGCCATTCTTCATTCACAATAAACCATTAATCATAAATCAGAAGTTAGAAGCTGAAAATTGATTATAGTCGTCAATTTTTAGTTTCTGACTTCTGATTTATGACTAATGGTTATTATACAAGACTCATTATAGACTTCATTACTATTAATGATTTGCATTGTGCTTTCAGTTTGCAGTTATTATATCACATTAACATGTAATTGAGCAACTCAAAATTTTATTAAAGTTTTTATTAAAGTTTTAAAGCACATAAAGAATTTTATTTTGTTATTTGTTTTCTCTCCTGATGCTTAATTTGTCAGAAGAATCTCTTATTTAAAATCGTAAATCATTTGTAAACTATAAATACGACGTTACTGTTAAGGAAATTTTCGAATTTTCGAATTTGTTTTAATCAAAGAATCCGTCATAAAAGAAAATAGAAATAAAATTTGGTAATTGTATAGATATGTTACCTGTTATAGTCTCTTGTTCTGGTGACTTGCACGGTGCTGTTTCCATAAAGCAATTATAATATTCTTCTCGTAACTCCTTGTTTTGAAGAATAGATTGTATATCAATGTAATCATATTGATCAGAATAGAGCTCTTCTTCTGCAAGAATGCACATTAATACGTACATAGCACTGATCAATACAATACGACTTAATTGAGTCATTGGTACCAGTTATGATGCTTGAGATATGTACTAGTTCATGAGAGAGGATTGCATTTCATTTTATATAAATCTTACTTAATAAAAAACGAATTATATAACATAAAATATATGCAAAATATGTGTTATTAAACATGATGATATAAGTAAACTAGTTTTACTAGAATATTTAATATTGAAGAAACGTTAATTACATGTTAATTGTTAAGTACAAGGTTTCTTTTTTTTTGTGCTTGTATGTTTTTGTGTGTGTATGTGTGTGTGTGTGTGTTGTAACTAATAATTCTACTAATAAATCTTATTAAGTTAGAGAAAAAATGGCTAATATGAGTCAAAGACGCAGATGGTATAACGCAATAAATAAAATGTGCAAAAATTAAAACATAAAATAAATACTTTAATTAATGTTTCGGTTCTTCATTTGAACTATCTTTAGAATATTCAAAAAATAAATTATCAAAAAATAAAGATAAAGGTGACGGAACATCCAAGCATAAATTAAATATCTATAAATATGATACCATGTTTATCTTATCTTTTACTTTTAAAAATTTTTCTTTTTAAGTGTAAATTATTATTTTTTTATTATTATCTCATAGAATTAACTTAACAAGTCTATTTTTATTATATTATATATTTTTATTAATTGTAGATCTCAGGATGATTTTAGTTCCACAACTCAGATTCTTTGCAAATTATGATATTTTATCATACTTTATTAAGAAAAGTTTCTTTATATTATAGTAATATGCTATAATATCATGCTTGAGATTTGGACTTTTTGATTAATATTTCAAATTTTTACATTTCCTTAGCCGAGAAGTTCTCACTCTTGAGATTGTCTTTCGATAATACAATCTCCTCCTTTTCAATTTATGCTAGGATGTTCCGTCATCTTTATCTTTGAATTCTGAAGATAATTCAAATAAAGAACATTAATTGAATGTTATTTATATTATGTTTCAATTTTTGCATATTCATGCATTTTTATTGCGCTATACCATCTGTGATTTCTTGACTCGTATTAGCTATTTTTTTCTTTAATTTTATGAATTTTTGCGAATCCGAATTAAGATTATAACAATAAATAGAAAATTAAAGGGCGAATAAGAGTCAACTTGTTAAAATTCTTTAATAAAATTACGAAAGAAACGAATATATTAAATACATTTTAATTTTATACAGTAAATAGAAATTGATTGTCTATAATTCTTCAAAAGATTAATAATGTATGCAATAAACAACTAAGAAGCATATAGCCAAACGCAAGTTATTCGTAGCGAAATCATATATTTAAAATCAGTTTGTTAACAATTAAAATTCATAAACGTTTCGGTCGATATTCGGCCTTCTTTAGTATGATATAATGTACAATAATAAATTATGTCGGGTCGATTAAAAATTAAAAGAAGTTAAATATAAATTTAACTTAGTCATGATTTCGATGATAATTTAAGATACAATGTTGAATGTATAAAACAGATTGTGTGTTCTTATTACATAAATGATTATTTTATTATTCTTAAAGTATTAGTCTGCTCTTTTCATTGCTAGTCTTTGTGTAGTCACAGAATTTTCTAGTTCTAATTTAAATTTAAAGAATTAACATGTTGTATAAAATCTTTTGCAATATTATATTAACAATTAATTAACATACCTGTGAGTATGCAACAGGAATTACAATTTTTCAATGTGCGACAATTTTTCAGATTTTTTTAATGTAAAAGATGGAAGATTCTTTCTTATTAGTTACTTATTTAATCGAACTTATATTGTCTGTGTTCTATTCTTATCCTCCTATATTTATATTAGATAGGAAAAATGAGAAGTTTGTTCTGTTTATCTTTTTTTTTATAAAACCCTAAACCCAATGCAAGGCAACAGCAATAAAAATAGCAATAAGAATGTTATAGAAATAAGCGATATATAATTGTTATTGCACAATGCCACAAAAGAAGTAAAAAATGCCAACCAATCTGATTTCATATATAGACTATAGTGTATTCTTCTATCCGCTTCATGATTATAGCACATATAAACAGAATGAAAAATCTGAAATCGCTGATTGGTTGAGCTATAAGGCGATAAACACAGAATTCTAACTCGTCGGAAATTTATCGCTTATTCCGTGTTCTTATGTACATTGACATATGTATTCCCGTATGTTGGATTCCTCTATTCCTATCGCTATCTTTATTGCTATCGCTATTTCTATCGCTATCGCTGTTGCCTCGCATTGTGTTCAGGGCTTTAAGATCACACCATTCCAGACTTTTATAACTAGACTGTTGACTAGGCTGTGTTCCAAAATTTACTGTATTGAAAATCTATAGTTTACGTCACGTGCATTATAGATTTTCAGTACTGGCAGTAAAATTTGAAATACAGCCTCAATATGATAGAAAGAGATGAATCTGATGAGCTGTCCTTGTTTCAGTTCATATATGTGTATGTATGCGTATGTATATTCTGTCTGTAAATATCGCATAAATTATATGAAAACACTAATGTTATTATCCGTGTGATTTATACATGATAGAGTGAACTCAATGGAGTGAACATAAATATGACGCTGCCCAGCGTTGTCTTCAACATGGAGACGAAGAAATGATAGCAATCCACACACACACACATATTGAAGAGAATCGAGAAAAATAGCCGTGGTTAACTGGCACGAACAAATCGGAATTTGTTAATATTCTCTATATCAAGCCGAGTCTTGTGCAAACAAAAAATATCTCATTCTCTCTGTAAAGAAGTTAAGTCCTCTCTTTTTTAGTGTATAATAAACTATTTAACGAACAGTATATGGAGTGAACTTCCCTGTATATCTGCACCAGCATCCTTGACATTTTTTATCCCAACAATATAAGTAAACTTTGCGGCATTGTTATTAAAAAAGTATAATAAAAATGACCGTTTTAGAAACCATACTATTAAAACAATAGAATAAGATTAATAAATACATTTATTTAATTTATCTAGTTGCAAAATAATTCCTTCAGACCAAAATAATTGCAATGCTAATATTTTTGGCTCTCAAACGCACGGGCGCATATAAACTTCCTGACAATTATCAAACGGCAATGAACGATGTGAAATAGAATTTCCACTCTTAGTTGACGAATGATGTGGCGGAATTTTCTAATAAATGCGTTATTATCAAGAAACATGGAGTGGACCTTTTTCCCCGAGGACTTTTACTCCCTCGGGGAAAAGTTCCACTCCATGTTTCTATCCTATCTCTAAATATATGTATTCAAAAAATTAAAACAAAATATATGTTATAAAGATATTAAACATAGAGATTAACTTAAATAAAAATAAAAGTTTTTAAAGTTTATCTTAAGATTAAAAAAATTGAAATATCTGTCAAAAAAATGATTTTTATAGTAACTTTCGAGTACACTCACGAAATTTGTTTGGTGAAACATTCACACATTGATATCTTTAACATATTTTTTTTTTAATTTTGAAAATTGATACAACGTAGTAAAAAAATAAAATGTTGCAAATTAGTATTAAAAACACAACAAGACATTTTTTAAATACATTACGGATTTTTCTTTTGGTTAAATATTTATGCTGATATCTATAACATATATTTTCTTTAAATATTTAAAATAATTGATACTTTATAATTTATATTAAAAAAATAAAAATAAAAATAAATTTATTTATTAAACTTGACATTTTTGTCTGTTTAGTCTATTTATTAAATTATTTTTTATTATAAGATTGGATTTTTCGCGCTCTCTTTCTTTCTTTCTCTTTAAAACATTATTAGTGATGATAATGACATGTTTTTATACGTCTATACTACGTCTTATACTACGTCTATACTACGTTCTATACTTCGTTTCCCTCCCAAAGCCATAGTTAATGAGAATACGTAACTCTTTAATATTGCTAAAATCAGTTAAAATGATTAGCGCGCAATAATTTATACGTCTATGCCAATAGATGAGGTCGATATACAAAAACTATGTGCATATATATACTGCATAATTATTGCATTACATGAATAAGCTTTAAATATTTAAAGAATTGAAAAAAATTGTTTATAAAATTATGCATTAATATATTTTTCTTATCTTTTTTCAAAGCAATGAGTGTTCAGAATAATATTTATTATCGATTAGTTAAAAAATTAAAAACAAGCCTCTTATTTCACATTTTTCTCTATTTATAATATTTTTTGTGAATAAATAGAGTATAAATGAAGCAATTACTTTGTAAGCTTCAAATTCAAAATATACAATTTTTTTTTAATAAATCGAGCTTAGACAAAGTAATATTAGGTGTTGGAATTAATTCGTAGCGTTTTTTAATGAAAGAATGTTATTTATTTCACATGAGCATTAAAAAATACATTAATGAAAGTACTTCCCATCACTTGTAAAACGCTACGAATTAATTCCAACACCTAATATATATTTCCAACAAATGTTGGATTGACGATAAGAGACAATGATGTAGAAGGCGGAGGTGTTTTGCTTTAGACGTTTGCGCTATCTTAGTAAGAGTGCCTATTCATTAGTATAATACTTCTTCATTACAAACAAAAATTTAAGACTCAAAATTTGTTTATAAAAAACGAAAGGCCATAAATTATATTGGCTGCTCAAAAGACAAAAATTTAAGACTGAAGATTTCTTTATAAAAAACAAAAAACTATAACTTATTTTGCTCACGAAAGACGAAAGTAATATATATTTCCTGAAAAATGTTAAGTTGTAATCCATGGAGACACATGGAAATGTGTATTTCTAAAAAATAGAAGCAATTATTTATTTTAAGTAGGAACATACACTTAAAAAGATTACGAATTTTTTTGCAAAAACAGGATTTTAATCAATATCTTATATGTATATTAGTAAGTGTTATATAAAATTTTAAATTGAAAATTTATAAATAGCGACTCAAATGTTGACGTTAAACATTTCATAATCGTTAAACAAACATTTAAAAAATGTTTTTTTTAAACCATTACTTTAAGTAAACAATTAATATAAAATAAACGTTTATTAGACATTAA